AACTGGGATTGTTTAGTCTGCAGAAGAGAAGAATGAGGGGGGATTTGATAGCTGCTTTCAACTACCTGAAAGGGGGTTCCAAAGAGGATGGATCCAGACTGTTCTCAGTGGTACCAGATGACAGAACAAGGAGTAATGGTCTCAAGTTGCAGTGGGGGAGGTTTAGGTTGGATATTAGGAAAAACTTTTTCACTAGGAGGGTGGTGAAGCACTGGAATGGGTTACCTAGGGAGGTGGTGGAATCTCCTTCCTTAGAGGTTTTTAAGGTCAGGCTTGAGGAAGCCCTGGCTAGGATGATTTAGTTGGGGAGTGGCCCTGCTTTGAGCAGGGGGTTGGACTAGATGACCTCCTGAGGTCCCTTCCAACCCTGATATTCTATGATTCTATGACAATTCAAAATAAGAATGGGAGGCATTTCCTTGAATTTCAAATAAACAAGATTCCTTTTGCTTTCTAAAAATTTCCTATGCAGGAGGTTACAGTTCAGTTTCTTTTTACAGGAAACCCTTTCAGTCAGGGTTGTTTACTATGAGATCATCACCGGGAATCCCCGTCTGAACAGCTTCAAGCCTGAGGAACAAACAGACAGGGCTGGGCCCTTATTGCAGCCAGAGAAGACTTATGTAAGTGAATAATTCTGTTGAAGTCATTAGGACTGTTTACGTGCATGAAGTTCAACATGTGAATAAAGCCTGCAAGATCAGGGCCAAAGGCAGCAAATCCCAGCTGAAGACTGGCTGGCTGAGGGGATTGGTAACAGATATGGAGATTGGCTGGCACTTAAATCCTAAATGGAATGAGCTTGTTCCTGCTACTGTTGAGATCTGTGAGAAGGCTCCCATTGACACCAATAGGGCAGGAGCAGCCCTTATGACCTCATTACAACACAACTGTATCTCCTAATAGAATATCATCACCTCTGGGCTGAAATGCTGCAGCTCTGTAACAACGCACAACAATGCAACACAAAGTAAGGAACAATCTTGAACTCATGCAATGTAAGTGACAGTGCATAATACACAGAATCACCTCCTTAATAGCAACCACTTAATTCATATCTTGTTTTTCCCTATTGATATAACTTTGGCTAAGGTTTTTTTGGGTTTTCCACAGGCATATCCCGTCAGCCTGCAGGGTGTTCTGTGACAAGATGGGGTGGGAGTCACAAAGATATTTAGGTGCCTGTGAATCCAGCAATTGCTTCCTATTGATGCTACCCACTGCAAAGTTTGCCCTCTTATAGGAACTTTTTCCTATTATGTCTGTCTGTCTGCATGTGGTCCTTTAAGCTTGGCAGAGCCAAGCAGCTGTAGCTACTGTGCAGCTGGCCTCTGCTTGCTGCATTTCTCTTCCAGTTGGTGAGTTCCTGATACGTTTTTCTTTTTTCATAGCTGAGGAGAATGACAGGTTCTCAAAATCCCACTGAAATTATATGGGGCAGAATGTAAATAGCCTTGAATTTAGTCACGAAGCTCTGGCTGACCCACTAACCTCTGTGATAAGTAATAGGGGGATCCCTAATAGCCCAAGTGAGCAGGATGTTGGTTTTATGTCTCTACTTGAAGTGGTATCTCCTATAGCACAGTTCCCCTAACACCAGATTAGGGCATTGGTTCAGTGCTGTACAGCCCTTTTCGGGAACCAAAATAGCTTCTTGCCAACATTGTTTTGGTGCTGCCCATCAAACTCAAACCATTAAGAAAGGTGATTAGCCAGGGTTAACAAGGCACAACTGTGTCCTGTGGAACTCCTTGCCAGAGGATGTTCTGAAGGCTAAGATTATAACAACGTTCAAAAAAGAACTAGATAAATTCATGGAGGACAGGTCCATCAATGGCTATTAGCCAGGAATAGGGAGGGCAGGGATGGTATCCCTAACCTCAGTTCACCAGAAACTGGGAATGGGCAACAGGAGCAGGAGGTGGATCATTTGATGATTACCTGTTCTTTTCATTCCCTGTGGGCACCCGGCAATGTCCACTGTCGGAAGACAGGATACTGGGCCAGATGGACCTTTGGTCTGACTCAGTATGGCCGTTCTTATGTACTCCTAGGTCTACACTACGGGGGGGGGGAGGTCGACCTAAGATACGCAACTTCAGCTACGTGAATAGCGTAGCTGAAGTTGCGTATTTTAGGTCGACTTACCTGGCTGTGAAGACGGCGGCGAGCCGACCGCTGCCGCGCCGCCGTCGACTCTGCTTCCGCCTCTTGCCGCGGTGGATTTCCGGAGTCGACGGCAGAGCCATAGGGGATCGATTTTATCGCGTCTAGTGAAGACGCGATAAGTCGATCCCCAATAGATCGATTGCTACCCGCCGATCCGGTGGGTAGTGAAGACGTGCCCTAATTGTGGGTGAAAAGGAGGCAGCTATGTTTTTACCAGGACCCAATTGGGAGTATGTGGCACTTGTTATAGTTTTGCCAATCCAAAGTGGTCAAAAATCGTGAGTCAGTCAGCTGAAAACTAGACCGGCCTAAAAATCATAAGACTTTTAAAAAATAATAACAGTAGGGTTGTTTTTTTTTTATTTGGCTTCTGGTTTCTGAGCCTTTACGTTGCCTTGTGCAACATTTTCAAACTTACCTCCACAACCATGAGGGCTAGAAACTTGCTGTAAAAAATGAAAAAGTTGAGATTTTTGCATGTTCACATGACTGGCACTTGAAACCCAAATATGATAAGACTTTCAATCAATTCATAAGAATTGGTAAAAGTGATCTCTTTAGTGAAAGGGGTAGAAATATAGGGAAGTAAGATGAAAGGCTGGCTTACCCTGAGAAATGTTGCCTTGTATTGAGTTGGCTGTAATCTTGATTGTTGCCAGGAAAAGGGAGGCTCTGTAATCTGAGGCCTGGTCTACACTACGACTTTAATTCGGATTTAGCTGCGTTAATCCGAATTAACCCTTCACCCGTCCACACTACAGAGCCAGTTAATTCGAATTAAAGGGCACTTAAAATCGATTTCTGTACTCCACCTCGACGAGCGGAGTAGCGCCAAAATCGATTTTGTTAATTCGAATTGGGGTTAGTGTGGCCACACACCACCGAATTAATGTGGTTAAATTAATGGGGTAGTGTGGCCGCACACCACCGAATTAATGTGGTTAAAAACCGAATTAATGTGCTTAGTGTGGCCGCGCACAATCGAATTTATACAACCTGTTTCCCAAATTCGAATTATCTAAATTCGGATTAATCCCGTAGTGTAGACATACCCTGAGACTCTTGCTGTTTGGGAACAAGCTATGCTGCTCTGGTAAAGGCAGATGGACCACGACCTCAAAAAGAACAGAATTTTTCTGCTAGAAACTAAAAATGGATGAGTAGAGGATTTTTATTGTTCTGCCATGAACCTTACATCTCCCTTCACCAATTAGGAAAAATAAGTGACTAAGCAGGGAAACCAGGAAGTAACTGTCACTCCCTGAAAGGGTCAATCTTGGCTAGTCTGGAGGGACCAAAATGTATTAAGCTAAAAGCAAATCCCAATAAATTTAAATAAAAAACAAGAACAAAAACAGGGGCCCAATTCTGCCCTCATTCATAACCATGTGACCTTATGCTCTTGATGAGGGGCTTGCTTGGGTATAACTGAGGGCTGATTCTGGTTCCTTGTTACTCTATTTTCTAAGAATCTCTCTCTCTCTCTCTCTCTTTGTTTGTTTTCAGTTCCATGCACCGGTAACATTCTGTGCTGCAGGGAATGACAAACCTCACACCACACACACACTCAAGCGACCAGTAAACCACACAGGAAGACACTAGAAGCTATGTCAGTGTCATGTGACACTTAGTTAATTTGTCATAAAACCCCCCACGGCAACAGGAACAATAATGATGAATCTTATTTTATATTTCCAGATACAAAGTAAGTTAAACTGGAGTTAAGTCTGTGGACGTATCAGTAATTTAACAGTAAAAATACTGTAGGGTTGTTGGATGTGACAGATTGATAATACCCTGGACAAATCTTCTGGAATTAAGATAAACTTTACTGAATGAAGTTAAACCTTACGAATTAGGTTTAATACCTTTGGGGTCTATTGTATTAAAAATGCAGTTATGGTGTGTTATTGTGGCATTGTATGTACCTTCTCTAGTAGGAGGGAACATTAATGTCATTCCTATTACCAGCCCTTTGAAGACACCCCCAGAAAAGTTTACATACACTAGTTCACACTGGATTCTTCAGGAACTACCAGACAAAGAAGGGTAGCCATGTTAGTCTGTATCAGACAAAGAAAGGATTTTTGGATAAATAACCTGGTTTTAAATTGGCTCAGGGTCTTCTTCCTGATCCAGAAAATGGATAGGCCCTTGGATGCCCCAATCCTTAAGGAAGGACTGTGTGCTAGCTCTGTTGAACTTGTGACCACCAAGGGCACCACCTCTACTTTATGGGGTTTTAAAGGAGGGCTCCAGCCAGAGCCTCAAGCTCCCCATCTGTAAAAGGGGCTAAGGAGACTGACCGCCTGTGCACAGCGCTGTGAGCACTTTGGCTGAGCAGGGCTAGATAAGGTGGTGGGGACGCGGCGTGGGGGGAACGGGTGTTTTTGCAGAAATCCCAGTTGTAGGTGCTGGAGAAGGGGATAGCGGCAGGTGAGGCGGCGGAGGCGCTGAGACTATTATCTTGAGCAGGGTCTCAGCTGGGAGAGAGGCGCTGTAAGGAACCAGAGCCGAGCCCAGGCTGTTACACAAAGGGCCCTAGCGAGAGGGGCCCGCGCTAGTTCCTCCGAGACTGGAGCCTGGAAAGCGAAAGCGAAACGAGAGCCGGAGCCCGAGGGAGGGGCTGCTGTGAGGAGCGCGCATGCGCTGGAAAGCCCCTCTCTGCTCGGATAACCTGTCAGTGGCATGTCTGCCTGGTGACGAGTGATGTGAGAGGCCTCACCCCGCTGTGATTGGCCCGAGGCCGGCAGAGTATAAAAGGCGCTGGCGGGGCACAGGCGCGCTAGTCCGCTGAGAGTGATCGCGGAGGAGCACGTGTAGCTGGAGCCATGGCACGGGGTCTCGGTGTGCTGCTGCTGGTGCTGCTCGGTCTCGCCTGCCTGGAGGCAACCCCAAGTGAGACCCGCTCCCTGCCGCGCCGGGACCGCGGGGTGGGGGTGTGAGCCTTGAGACCGGCTCCTGGCCGCGCAGTGTTCGAGCCAGCTGGGGGGTCCTGCCAGGCAGCGGGGGCGGCTCTTAGCCGGGAGCCGGGCCATGCTCCGAGCCTGGGGGCGACTCCCGCTTCAGCTGCGCGGGGCGCGCCGAGTCCTGTGCTGGCCCGGGCGGGGGCACCTCCCCAACAGCCCGGCCCGGGAGCGGGTCCCCCGGGCGGTGCTCAGCGACCCGCGGCACCCTGGCTGGGTTGTTGCGGAGTCCGCTGGGGCGGGCGGCTCCGGCTGGCCGTGTGCCAGGGGCTTTCCGGGAAGGCGCCTGACGGCGCTGCCCGCCTGGCTTTCGCTTTTGGTTGGGAGGGGGGCGCCTCTGCTGCGGTGGTGGGAGGGCGCTGGATGAGCCCCAGCACCGGGTTAGCTCCCGGCGAAGCCCCTAGGGCTTCGTTCATACTGGGGGTGCCCTGGTGTGGCTGTAGCCTGTGCTCAGAGAAGTGGTGCTGCGGTGGGGACCCCACCTCCCTCCGTGACTCTGGCTGGGCCAGCAGGAGCCAGGTTCCACTGACCCTGCTTGCAATAGGGTGACTAGATAGCAAGTGTGAAAAATCGGGATGGGGGAGTGGGGTTATAGGGACCAATATAAGACAAAGCCGAAAATAGTGTGGCTGTCCCTATAAAATCAGGATATCTGGTCACCCTAGCAGTCAGGGAGGTGCTGGTCCTGCACTGGCAGAAAAGCTGCTGTTGGCATAGGCTGTCTGCACTGGCGCTGTGCCAGTGTAGAGGCTCTAGCTGTGTCTATGCTGCCGGGGTGGCTGGCATGTTGATTGGGTTAAGGATTTTTCACACACTGATGGACATAGCTAGACTGATATGTTGTAAATGTAAACCAAGCTGTGCCCTTATTGTGCTGCAGTGCCAGTCCTGCTTGCGCTCCAGTAGAACTCAAGAGTGTCGTGGAAAAAGTCACCCACGCATTAATTTTAGTTCACAGACTCAAGCCTAAGGCCCGTTTGTTGCAATACATACCAACGCGTTGGGGTAGCAGTCCGAAAACGACCACACCCGAGTTACCAATTGACCAGTCAACCACACACCTCATTTGGAACCAGAAGTATATAATCAGGCAGCAGAGATGGGATGGGGGGCAGTAAATACTGTATAGTACAGTACTGTTAAATGTAAACTACTAAAGAATTAAGGAAAATCTATTTTTTGACAAAGTAAGGAAACTGTTTCTGTGCTTGTTTCATTTACATTAAGATAGTTAAAAGCAGCATTTTTCTTTTGCATAGTAAGTTTCAAAGCTGTATAAAGTCAATGTTCGTTGTAAACTTTTGAAGGAACAACCATAACAGTTCAGCATTGCGAACAGCCTCCATTCCTGTGGTGTTCATAACTCTGAGGTGCTACTGTACTAGAGCTTTAAAGGCTCAAACTCTAGCAAGCTGCCATTGTGCCCTGGCTTGGCTCTTTGAGTCATTAGTGCACAGCTGGTGGAGTCTCCCTGGGGGGAGACAATTACAGCAGCTAGGATGTCACTCAGCTCTGTTCTTTTCTCAACTTCTTCAGGTTCCCCCAAAGTACATGTGTACTCCCGCCACCCAGTGGAGGATGGCAAGTCGAATGTCCTGAACTGCTACGTGGAGGGGTTCCACCCCCCGAACATTGAGATCACCCTGCTGAAGAATGGTGTTAAGATGGATGCCATGGAAATGTCTGACCTTTCCTTCAGTGACGACTGGACTTTCCAGCGCCTGGTGCATGCCCCATTCACTCCTAATGGGAAAGATTCATATGAATGCAAAGTGGTGCATAGCACCCTTACAAGTCCCAAGAACGTCAGATGGGGTGAGTATTTCACTACTTCCATCTTGTTCACTTCATCCCTCAGGAATTGTACACTGGATTTGGATTCTGTTGCTACTGAGATCCTGCACTCTGCCAAAGAATGCAGCTTGTCTGCTTAGTCACAAGTCCAGTGTGGTGTTGGTTTTTTTTTTTTTTTTTTTTTTTTTATTAAGCGTAATACAATAGGGTGAGTTCCTGAATTCTTGTTTCTAGAGACCTTTGGCCTCTTCCTAGGCACCAGTGAAATAATTTGTTTCTAGCTGCCAAAGGGAACATGTAAATGAATGCACTGCATTGGAACATCTGATAGTAATGGAAAGAGGGAGAGACTAATTTCTGGAATAGTGGAGGTGCTGTAGATCAGATCAGGCTATATCTACACTGTGGACCTTACAGTGGCACAGCTGTACCACTGTAAGGTCTGCCATGTAGCCACTCTTTACTGGCGGGAGAGAGCTCTCCTGCCGGCATAATTAAGCCACCCCCCAACAAGCGGTGTTAGCTAGGTCGGCAGGAGAGGCTGTCCTGCTGACAATAGCACTGTCCACACCAGCACTTTTGTTGGTGAAACTTACGTTGGTCCGGGGTGTTCTTTTCACACCCCTGATCGACAAAAGTGCTAGCGTAGACATAGCCTCAGTTAGCAGAGCTCTGGGGAAGGTGTGCACAACCCCTGCCTGTCCACTCTGTACCTGGCTTTAATGTTATCATAGTGTCTTAATGGTATCTTATTCCCTTATACTCCCCTCTAAATAAAAACTGCCTGAACAGATATGTTAGATGTAACTTTTATATGACTTGCCTGTTGAAAAAGGGTAAGTTATTAAAAGAGCAGTTTTTGTCAGAGAAACGATTTTCAACCTCAGCCTGGTCTTTTACTTTGCTGTCCTGTCTGCAGGCTTTTCCCTATGTCTCTTCCCCCCCCCTCCCCCCCAAATATTTGATACATAATCACCAACCATAAAAGGTCCAGGACTTTGAATTTGTCTGTCATGCTTGTGATGCCAGGGTGGAACGGAATCCAGTTGACTTCTGCTTGCTGGGAGGAGGAAACCTGATTAGTTTAGGTAAACTAAGCAAGGATGCTTAGGACAGTTGGCAAGAAGATGAGGTTGTGGTGTCAGTTTCTTTTCTGGCCCAGTCCATAATCCCCTAGCATGAGCAGTGGTGGCTTATCACAGGGCATCTCTCTGGCTGCTGGAGTGATAGAACTCTCCCAGCTCTGCTTTAGAATTGTTGTGATTGGTGGGAGGATTATTTGGGCAGCACAGCAATGTCTTGAAAGTGAAGGCTAACATCCTGTCATCCTCTTTTTGCAGACCCAGATAATTAACCTGCTTCTTAGACGCATATGGTAAGTTATGGATATTTCGTTTCTTGCTGTCAAAGTGAGTTTGGTGCTAGACTGATCCTTAGGGCTTGACTACATTATCCGCTGGATCGAGGGTCAGCAATCGATCCAAAGGGGGTTGATTTATCACATCTAGTCTAGACATGATAAATCGACCGCCGAGCCCTCTCCCGTGGACTCCGGTACTCCACCAGGGTGAGAGGCAGAGTCGACAGGAGAGCGTCAGCCGTCAACTTACTGCAGTGAAGACACTGCGGTAAGTAGATCTAAGTACATCGACTTCAGCTACGTTATTCATGTAGCTGAAGTTGTGTAACTTGGATCGATTTTCCTGCCCCCAGTGTAGACCAGGCCTTAGGCTGAAGCCCAAGGGAAGGAAGCAAAACGCCTGTCATGCTGAGGCAGAAAGACAGGGAGAAGATAAACAGGCAGCTCTGTCTCTAGCTTATTAGGTGGTATGCATGTGGCCTGAAATTGTTACACTTCTTAGCACTGGTAACAATATCATGCCCATATGGAGACTACACTTGCTTGTCCAAGGATTAGAGAGCAGCCTTTTGAAGCAAAATCTATTTTTGTAAGGCTTATGACTTCACTTGGCACCTGGAAAGAAGGGTTCTTTATATGTCACAGGGTCTGCTAGTCACCAGACCCCATGGTGTTTTCTCTTGATGGGTGGGGAGAGGTGAATTTGACATTTGCCAGTCCTTGCTTATGGTCTAGCTATATCTCCTGGGAGGGATGGCTAATACTGCATTAGAGTTAGAGGGACAGTAGTCACTGTAAGGCATCATTTTTGGGCAGAGGGGGGCACAGGAGCAGTCTCTTGCCAGGCAGTGCTGGAGCAGCTTTGAGTTGGTGAATGATAACAAATGGCTTAATGTACAGCACCAGCAAATGCAGTACACCAAATGTGAACAGGTAAGAGGTTCAGTGCCTTAAACTGTCTGAAGCTTGGGCATGTGACTTTGGAGGTGCAGCTGCTCTTAGAATCTATGAAGTCCAGAACCTGTTAGGGTTTATACTAGTTGTTTGCAGATGGGATCTCTGATCCAGGTTCTCCCTTTCAGATTGCTTATTCTTTATGATAATATAAACTTTATTAATAAAAAACAATCTTTTCCCCTCCCCTTTTCAGGTATGAAGAACTCTGCCTTGCAATCTGAAATCAGCTTAAGCCCTAACCTGTTTTCCTCTGCGCTCTTCATACCCCACATTCATTTCGTATTGGAGCTGAATGTCTAGCTTTTAAGATAATGCTAAATAATTTGTGTGGGGGTGGTCTTTTGTAAGTGTGAAATGTTAGATTTGAGTCTGGGGCCCCCTGTGTACGGCAGTGTGACATTAGAGCTGGCCTCGCACCAAAATTCTCGATGCTCTGTCTGGTTTGGGGGGGGAGGGGGGGGAACACTTGGGTAATCTGGTGGTGGACATGTTATAGAATCATTATAGGTCTTATGCAAAGATAAGCCAGTCTTGTATTGGGCTGTCTGGCGGGTGTGCTACTGCTAGTTAAACTGGCAGTTGTAAAGTAAATCCTAAACATATCTCAGGGTCTTTAAGACCCACGGATCCTTCTTCTAATCCAGATATGCTGTGCTCATGGTATTGAGAGAGATTGAACTGCAAATTTGGAAGATCTTTGTCTTTCCAGTAGCTCCAGAACACAAGAGCTATAACAAGGTCCCAGCACAACCTATGTGTAGGCAGCAGCAGTCTTCGCCAGGGATGGGGGCAGCATTGAGGGCTATCAGGGCCTGAGTGCAACATGTGTTAAGCCCTTTGGGGTGAGCAGTAGTAGAGCTTTCAAGAACAACTCTTGGCTACAGCATTTCTTACTATAAATGCCAATCAATAAAATTATTGCCAGTTTAAAGCAATAAATCTGTGTGCAAGTCTGTTAAACATTTTTGGACAATCTCTATATGGATCTGCTTTACTAATTAAGAGTGTAACACTTTGTATGGTTCTTAATTGTATATAATGACGTTTTATCTTAAATATATTTAAAAAAAAAAATCAACCCTGTGGAAGTTGTGATTTCTTAAGTTGAAGAAAGGACCAACCTGTATGAGGCAGTCTGGCTTGTTGGGCATAACAGTGTAGGCAAGGAACCATGCAGTCTGGAAAAACCCTGGTTAGGAGGGGAAGAGGTATGGGTCTCTACCTACAAGAGGTGACGGCTAAGGAACCAGAAGCCCAGACTGGGAGCCTGTGCTGGACCATGGAGGGGAATACAGGTGCATTTTCCAGCCTCTGCCCTTGCACAAACTCCTATAAGACACCCCCATGACCATACTTCTGTGTGAGAGTCAAATGAATCATGATCCTTGTGTTTCTGGAACACCCAGCCTCACTATAGGGAGGGGCAGTAGAGTGACCAGACAGCAAGTGTGAAAAATTTGGGATGGGGTGGGGGTAATAGGAGCCTATTTAAGAAAAAGACCCAAAAATCAGGACTGTCCCTATAAAAGCGGGACATCTGGTCACCCTAAGGGGCAGAGCTATGAGAAGAAGACTGGCTCAGTGGAGTTGAGACATTGTCAATAAGGGTGGTCTTCAGACAACTTTTCAGAAGGATTTTGAGTCAGTTCTTCAATGGAAAGAAAAGACTTGTTTGAAGACAAATGAAACAAATACAGGAGTTACTTAAGGAGGTCTGATTGTTGAGGTTGCCCTGGATACTGCCAGAACAATACAAATGCCCCACCTGTTGCTCTGAGAAGGTGTAGCATTCAAACAGACTATCTAGCAGATACTCTACTTTAAATAAAGCTGTTGCCAGATGTCAGGAGGGTAAACCACCATGTAGTTCAGCTGCTTTGAATTTCTTGTAGACTTTTTGTTCCTGGCTGTTGGAGCCTTGCTGGGAGAATAATACAACTCCCTTAACATTTAATTTAAAAAATCTAAAATGACTAAAGCCTTCATGCATAAACTTATAAGTTTCGCTAAGGTCTGTTCTGTTCTTTCAAAACAGAAAAATAAAGTGATAAGATTTAAGTCAGAGGTGGGCAAACTACAGCCTGCGGGCCGCATCCGGCCCGTGGGACCGTCCTGCCTGGCTTGCCCCTGGCCCCTCCCCTGCTGTTCCCCCTCCCCTGCAGCCTTAGTTCGCTTTCTCTGCCGCCCAGGCAATGCTCTGGGCGGCAGGGCTGTGAGCTCCTGGGGCAGCGCAGCTGAAGAGCCAGGCCTGACCAGGTCTCTGTGCTGCATGGCTGTGGCGGCAGCATGGCTACCGGCAGCGCAGTAAGTGGGCAGGGAGCGGGGGGGGGGGATGGCATAGAGGGCAGGGGAGTTTGGGGTGGTGGTCAGGGGGCAGGGGTGTGGATAGGGATCAGGGCGGTTGGGGGGGAACAGAGGGTTGAATGGGGGCAGGTGTCCTGGGGGGCAGTCAGGAAGGAGGGGGGGTTGGATGGGGCAGGGGAGCCATCAGGAATGAGAGGAGGGGTTGGATGGGGCGGTGGGGGTCTGGGGGTGGTCAGGGGACAGGGAGCGGGTGTGTGTGGATGGGACAGGAGTCCTTGGGGGGGGCAGATAGGAGGTGGGGACTGGGCCACGACCCCTTCCCCTAACCGGCCCGCCATACAATTTACAAAAACCGATGCAGCCCTCAGGCCAAAAAGTTTGCCCATCCCTGATTTAAGCAGTTGGGAAAGAAACAGACAAAAATGGAAACTAGATGAGCGAAATTCATCAGTTTCTCTAAGTTTTATTCAAGTGAACAATCCACTTTATACAACTGTTTTTTTTGCTTTAAGATAACTTGCAAAAAAAAAAAAGCTTTTATACAAACTTATGCTTTCTCACAAGTGTAGTTGTGCTGTGTGATAGAAAGGCAGGCTGGTCTAGGCCTGGTGAGCCCATTCTACCATGGAGGGAGAGCCAGGGTTCCTTTCTCCTACAAACAACTGCCAGAGCAGTCAGCAGCAAAAGCCAGTCTAGTTTCCAGTTTTGCGCTGTTCCTCAAGCGTTCAGGTATGTCAAGAAACAAGATTCTGGAAGGAATGGCACCAAAAACAGAGGTTCTAGCCAGGGGCGGCTCCAGGCACCAGTGCACCAAGCGCGTGCCTGGGGTGGCAAGCCGCGGGGGGCGGCCTGCCGGTCACCGTGAGGGTGGCAGTCAGGCTGCCTTCGGCGGCATGACTGCGGGAGGTCCACCGGTCCTGCGGTTTCGGTGGCAATTCGGCGGCAGGTACGCCGAAGTCGTAGAACCGGCAGACCTCCCGCAGGTATGCCACCAAAACTGTGTTACCAGCGGACCTCCTGCAGGCGTGCTGCCGAAAGCCCCCTGACTGCCGTGCTTGGGGCAGCAAAATACATAGAGCTGCCCCCTGGTTCTAGCCCCACTAGAAGTTGTTTGGCTTGATGGAGAAATTACACCTCTACCCCAATATAACGCGGCCCGATATAACATGAATTCGGATATAACATGGTAAAGCAGTGCTCCAGGGGGGCGGGGCTGCACGCTCCAGCGGATCAAAGCAAGTTCAATATAACGTGGTTTCACCTATAAAGCTGTAAGATTTTTTGGCTCCTGAGGACAGCGTTATATCGGGGTGGAGGTGTACTGGGTGAAATCCTATACCTGTTGTGATCATAATGGCTCCTGCTGGCCTTATTTTCTGAAAAAGCCAATATTTTTGTTCAGTGTAAAAAAAAAAAAAGCAAGTGCCCAATAAGGAACTAATATGGGGCAGGAGCAGGGCCAGAGCCCAGGATGCAGGGCACCCTAGTGATTGCAATGTTTTCCATGTGATCTGATAGCGTGACTCTAACAAGCTTGTTGAGGCAGAACAAGCATGTATGAAAGACATTATGGAATTCCATCCCTCTGGTTTGAAAGGATGTGACAACTTTTTCCCATTTAATCATGAAATTATTTTTAACAGGCGAGGAAGACAGACATTACTTAATCTTCTCATCACATTTAAGGTTTTGTACTTGAACACAGCATTTGCTTAAAGAGGCTCTCTAATTATGGAAATTTTAAGCTCAGGCTGAGTAAGAAAACTCTTTCTGAAAACACAGGAATAAAGAAAAGTCTGGTATATTCCAATTGTCGATGCTCTGTAAGAGACAGGAATTTATCTGTATTTTAAAACCAAGAAAAGTGTATCAAATAATTAAACCCCATTCTACTTTTCCAACCACCTAAATTAGCAGGGACAGAGTGAGTATAAATGTATTTGGTTACCAATCACTTTCCTGCATTCTCGCACATTAGCAGAGGGTGGCAATCTCTGGGTAGCAAACACTGTAGGGAAATGTTAGGCCTTTACCAATAAATTGTATCCTTTGAAAGTTTAAACAAAAAATTCACTGGAATGTTTCTATTGAGGTGTGAGGCTTAGCAAAAATTTGTTTTAACTGCAACTACATTTGGGTCTAAATTTATCTGAAAGTTCACCTTTAATTACTTAATATGCGAGTAACACTTTTATTATTATGTAAGTAGTAAACATGAATACGTTAGTACTACTGTCCATCTCTCTAGCCATAACTTTCCTCCCCTGGTTCCTGTGACCTCACGGACTCACACCAAGCAGTTAATGTTTGCACAGCACTTTTAGGATATTTAAGATTGTAGAAATGCTGAACATTAAATTAATTAATTACTTTCATTAGGAAAAATGCTATCTGCCCATATGCCTCCCACTGACTAGCAGACTTCCCAATAGTTGTCCCAGGTTTAGCAGAACTGTCCTGCTTTGACACACACACACCCCCCAGCCCCCCAGTCCTGGTTCAAGTGGCTCCTGCCCCACAGGGTTTGGCTCCCCGCTCCAGGTATTACAAAATGACCCCTGTCACACAGGGATGGTCAGGTTTGGCCTGGCCTGCTGTTGGCATATATATATGTGCGCATGCCCAGGCTAAATTTGAGTGAGTGGCATTGTGACCTGGTGCATGGGGTGAGGGGTCCAGACCAAACCTGAGCAGTGCTGTGCACTTTGGCCTGGTCATAATGCCCAGGGTGGGGTGCTGAGCCCTGCCAACCCCACAGGATAGGAGCCCAGGAGTTGCTGCTGTGGGGTGAAGGTGGGGCAAGCTCACTCTGTAACTTCTCTCCATCTCCCCACCCCCAGGGCTTCCCACCCCTCCCTGGGGTTAGGACCCATCCCAGAGTAACCACTTGAAATGTTGGGCAGTGTGGACTAGTGTGTAGGGTTACCACCTCTTAGCTACAAAAACCCAGGCCATCCGAACCATTTCATCCAAGACAGCTACCCCAGCCAAGGGGCCAGCCTGGGAAAACGTGGATGGGAGAAGCCCTACCTTGCTGGTCCTGTTTTCTAGAACCTTTCCCTCCATGGGAGGGAACTGAGTAACTGCCATTCTGCCTCTCGCTAACTGCCATCCTCTCTGAGAAACCTCCCTTGCACTCCACGCACCCCTCACAACACCGCCGGTCTGCTTCAAAGTCACAAATTCCTCAGCTCTCCCAGCGCCTGCCTCCCCCAGCCACTCTCTTCCAGCATCTGCCCCCAGGTCCCTGGGGAACTACCTGCCCCTCACCGCATGCCCACCCTCTTCCAGAACCTTGCCTGTGCCATTTTCCTGTGGCATCGCTCACTAAGGGCCCTGCTTGGCCAGACCCAGTGACTTGACAGCTGCCTCATTTGCAAGTCTCCCAAGTCCTCCACATGGGCCTAGTCCAGAGCTCACCGATCGCCATCTTCTGAGGGTAAAACTCCTCCCTAGATTCATTGGGCCTAGTCCCTAGGATCTGTTGAGACCGATCACCTTGGGGTAAATCTCCACCACAGACATAGAGGCCTAGACTCTGGGACTCATGGACATCCATCACCTTGCTGAGTGATGTGTGGGGGAGCATGTGAGCAGTATATCTGGGTGGGGAGGGGTCATCTCCTGTGGAATAGCTGGATGTGGGGGGTAGGCTGAGTACCCTGAGGTGTCTCTGAATGGGGTGATAGGTGTACCCTGGACCGTGGTATCTTCAGCAGAGCTGCTGACTTTTCAGACTGCCTGAGGCTTCCTCCAGCCTTTAGGCTCTTCACACCATTCCCTCCTCCTCCCTTTGCTCCCCCCCCCCCCCCCCCGCCCCTGCTGTTTCCTGCAGCTCTGCGCCTGGTGTGCCATGCACAGTCTGGCCTGGGAGGGAGCAGAGAGGAGCTGCCTTGAGTCTACCTTCCCCTTCACTCTGGGACCACAGAGCCATGGTGCAGGCTGCCGGCAGACTCAGGGCTCTGCTCAAGGTGGCTGCACAGCCTGGGACTTGCAGCTGCGTGGGGGTAGGCCCTGGGGAAGAAAGGATAAGAGCAAAAGAGGAAACCTCCCACTCCCTCTCCCCTGTGCTGGAAGAAGAGGAAGCTCCTCCGGAGGACTGGAGTGAGGAGAAGGACGGGATGGCTGAGGGAACAGCTGAGGAGCTAACCCCTTGAGCCTACCCATGGCCGGGGGGAGGAGGAGCAGTGAAGGGGATGCACCCTTAAGGGGCCATGAAGAAGGGGCCATGGAGAAGAAGTAGCCGATGGCAATTTCTCCTTGTGAATCTTACCAGGGCCTGAGGCAGGAGCAGCAGAAGACCCAGCATCTAGTACAGGATTCTCTCTTTATGTTGAGATTCTGCAGGGGATTTTCAGTGGGCCCTAAAGTGTTGGTACATGTTGAAAAATCCAGAGTGGCCAATAGCAAAGTGTAACCTACTGGTTCCAGGTGTTTTTTTAGTTCTCTGTTCTGGCTGGTCCTAAGAAAGATGATAAAAGCCTACTAGTGCAAGCGACTAAAGGCAGTGCTACCTTAGTTCGAATAGTTGTGACTCTCATTTTGAGTACTGAAGATCTGGGATTCAGTCTCCATTGCTGACCAGTGTGGAGTGGGAGGAGTCATTACCATATCAGAGATTATTGGTTAGGGCAGTTGAGTTACAAAACCGAGGGTTGCTAGTTTAAGACTGTAGAAAGATAATTTAGATTGGCTTTGCTTTTAAAATGATTTCCTCACTGAAGAAGCAGTGAAAAATACATCTATGGACCTACATTTCCAAATGTGACTTTTGCGTGCCCAGCTGGAATGTGATGGTGTCTGGGGTATATCTGGAAACTGGGGCTTCTCGGGTCTATGTGTGGAATGTAGCTATGTAGTGGTGAGTTGGGGTGTCAAGGACATACTTAGGGATAGTTGTTTCTGTTGCATATTTCTCTGGTATATGTAGGAGATATGAGGGGGGTGTGTGTGTTTGGGGCATATCTTAGTGCTGGGGAATATCTGGGGGGTCTGAAGTGTAGCTGGGACATGCATTTGCATGCAGTAATACATCTGGTGAGCAAGGTTTTGTCGGTACTGGGGCTAGATCTGTGAGGTCGGGAGTTGGGGAATGGTTGGGTGTATGTGGTGATATAAAAGCACACATAGCCTCACCCTATAGGTTGTGTTACTTTGTATGGTTGTTCCTCATTGGATGCACATCTCTGGGTTGAGTGCTGTCTGCAGTCTCAGGTGTTTAGTGGGAGACGGGGGAGTGAGCCTGAGGGCTGGCTATCAGGTAAATTTGATTGCTCCCTATGTAGCTGCCAGGCTGGCCCAGTGTCAGTATGTGGACTATGCTGATGCGCCAATGTGGGCAGCTAACACTGTGCTTGGGGGTGGGTGCGGCCTTGGTCATAGAGTCTCACTCCAAGGCCCCTCTCAACAGGAGAGTTTTGCTGAAGATCCTCCTCATGCCTAGGTTACCCTTGATGAGATCTGTGCCCTAGGCTAGGAAGGGGCATCTCATTCCAGTCATTTCCCTTTTGACAGGATGGTCTTTGCTTGGTAGTTGATCTAAGACATATCCCTCCAGCACGATGTCATCATTCTCCAGTACAAATGTCTCCTCTTCCTCATCCACTTCTGTAAGTGACAATGAAAGCAAAATAAACCTCTTACTCAGCACCAGCTCCTCCGACCTGCCCTCGAGGCCACAAGCTGAAGATTTCACCAAGGAGCTGACCTGCCCTCTGTGCCTGGAATGGTTTAAGGAGCCGGTGATTTTGCCTTGTGGCCACAACTTCTGCAGACCCTGTATTGAGGAAATCTGGGGCAAGGCGGAGGTCTGCCTGTGCCCAGAGTGCCAAGCACAGTCCCCGGACAGGCAGTACATCGGGAACATAGTGCTGGAAAAACTAGTGGAAAAGATCAAGGGCTTTCATGTAGGGAAATGCCAGCAGAAATGCAGCAAACACGGTGAGCCTCTCAAGCTCTTCTGGAAGATGGATGGGAAACTGGCCTGCTTTCTCTGCAGAGATGCCCAGAAGCCTGAAGATCAAAGCTCCCAATTCCTACTGCTCCCAGACGCTGTGCAGCTCTATGCGGTAAGGCTCAGTCAAAGGCAGGTGTGAAACATTCTCTGCTACTTTAGCACATTTTACAGAGAGTCCTTTCCACTGAAGAGAATGTGGAACATTCGATACGTTACAGTGTTGCCAACTCCCACAATATTATTGAAAGTCTTGCCATATTAGATATTATTCTTAAAGTCCTGGCTCCTGGAATTCTGTGATCTCGTGAGACTCTCAGCTTTCATTTCAAAGTAATAACAGGATCCTAGTCTTCATAGTTCTGAAGAAACACTTGAAAACATGACCCAAGGGAACCACAAAGGCACCAAAAAGCAGGATGTGAATAAAAAGAACCCCACTTATTATTTTTTAAAAAATAATTATTTGAAGCCACTCTCTTGATTTTAGGGATCTGAGTCATGATTTTTACATGCTAAGCACTGTCCATGCTACAAATAAAACATGAATATTTATGCAGTATGTCACTAGCCAGAGGATTTTATCTTCATCACCAGGGCTTGAAGTGCTCACAGCTCTGGAAGTGGGGTAAAGGTTTAAGTCTCCTAGGTTATAGGGCAGCTTGAAATTCTGAGGGATAAAAGTGAGACCCAAGGGCTGCATTTACATTAGTAAATTTCGTAGCTGGAATTCACCACCAGTGGTAGCAACAGTAGAAGCTGTCGAGGATACAGGTATTTTTACCATCATATCATCCAGCTGTATTAGGCAATAAAATTGCTTGAGCCCTGTGCATACTCTAATTTCCAGCAGTTGCACTGTCCCAGTGCTGAAGGATGGACTATGAAGTGTGTCAGTTATAAAGTGGAGTTAACATTCCACTGTGATGAACACTACTGCTCTTGGGGTAAATTCTGCCTCCTCTTTCAATGGCAGTGGAAGGCTCTCTTGTAGTGGCCCAGAACCAGCATAGTTTGTTTGTGCAGGGGACAGAACAGGATTTGGAGAGCCCATGCAGGATAGGAATATCCCTGCACACTATGAGGCCTAGTTTAAAGTGGGGCTGCCTCTGGACCCCACTGTACCAGGAATTTGGGAGCAGGGTGATCTACTTACCAAAAGCTAATAACCATGTGCTGCTCAGGCTTTTAAGTTGATTGGCTGATATCCTCAAAGGTTCTGAACCCACATTTGTATTCTGAAGGAAATGTGACTCAGTATCAGTTTTATTAATGGGATTAAAGCTATTAACTAAACAAAAATAAATTGAGAAAACATCTAAGCTACTATCGGTACTTTTAAACTAAACTAAAAATGGTGCATTACAACAGTCAAATCAAAATCAAATCCACACATTAGTCTTAATATTGGATTGGAATTAAATAGTCAAATGAATGCTAAAAATAATCAATCCTTATCAATTCTAGAGAAGATTCTAAGAAGGTGGTTCTCTGTTTTGTTTTCAATTCCAACTAAAGAATTGTATCTAAATCAATCAAATTGAGGATTTAAAGCTCATCAAGAGCTTAATATGGAAGCCAATTACAAAGCTGCCTTCTTAGAATTCCTTTCTTATGTGGTGGCTAACAAGATCCGCTTCTTTTATAATACAGACTTTAACACAACGCTTTTGTACACATACCAATGAGTAATTTTATGATCCACTATTTAGAGCTGTTTAAACCCGGGGAACTTTTCTTTCTGGTGCCTTCATTGTGTGAACTTTCTGAGGGTGCTCAGACACACATGCATGGTCATAACCACACTTTCCCACACTAAAATTAAAAAATATTAAGCAGCTGGGATGTCTTCCAGCTAATAAAAGTACAAAAAGGAAAAATAAGATAACAGGGGCTCATGAACTCTCAATTCTTGCAGTCTTCTGGACTCTTGTAAGAGTAAGAGCTGGACCTGCAGGCAAAGAGCCAGACGGTGATGTTTTGCTGGTGCAGCGCTACACATTAAAGGGCCTTATTTGGGTGCTGAACAAAGGCTGTTTGTTGATGTCATGATTTCATGTTCCCAAGATGGCCAGTCTTGGAGATTCTGGAAGGTCACCCTTGCCTCAAGTGGCTTGTTGACCCAAAAGGCAAAGCTTCTTAGCCTTATCCTTGATCCTTATAGTTTGAAAATTTTGCTTGCTCAGTCTTGCAAGGCCTCCCTCCAAGTTCTTTGGACAAATCAAGTTCTGGGCCAACCTTGGAGTCATGCAATTTGCTCCAACGAGGTTCCAATTGGGTAATTTCTTAGCAAGTTTCAACCTGGAAAAGTCCCACTTAAATCAGTAATTGAAAAAAAAAAAGGTGGTGTTTTGCATACCACAGAGACTGACATCTGTGATCCCTTAAAATTAGCAAAAATCTGGATTCATGAGACCACTTTGGGGAAGCTGGCCTGGTCGTAACCAGGTGAAAAGGTCTTGAGATGACATTGTGTTACCAGTTTACAGGAAAGTTCAAAATCAAAGTCATATAAAAATAACTGATTGAAAAAAGAACCCTAGCAACAACCAATCATAGAATATTAGGGTTAGAAGGGACCTCAGGAGGTCATCTAGTCCAACCCCCAATTAAATCCCTAAATGGCCCCCTCAAGGGGATCTTCCCAACCATAAGGGCTAAAACCTTCATTTAAAAAATCCTGAAAGCTGAGATTCTGCAAATCCTAATGGGTAAGATCCAGTCACCAGGGCAAGTTTTTGATTCACCATTTGTCAAACCCCGATTCAGCTTTCATTAATCTTTCTCACCACATGTTTTGCTTTGTACAGATGTTTGCACTGAAGAGACATTTGCTCCTTCTCAGATTTGTCCAGCAGGAAGGTCACAAAAACGCAGTGTGTGATGTCATAATAATTTCCATGACAACAGACTGTCCTCAGCCCCGCCCCTCACTGCCCCATTGGATCCCTCCCCAAATCCCCACCCTGGCCCCGCGTCTTCCCCAAGCACGCCGCATTCCTCATCCTCACCCCTCCCTCCCAGGCTTGCGCTGATCAGCTGTATGGTGGCGCAAGCGCTGGAGGGAGGGGAGAGAAGCAGGAAGCGGCTTTTTTTTTTTCCCCGCTCTGCCGGCAGCCCCGGACATTGCGGGGCCCTCTTAGGCGTGGGGCCCCATTCCGGGGAATCGGCCGAATCGGCTTAAAGCTGGCCCTGGGAGGGGGA